TGTATGTATGTATGTATGTATGTATGTATGTATGTATGTATGTATGTATGTATGTATGTATGTGTGTATGTATGTATGTGTGTATGTGTGTATGTGTGTATGTGTGTATGTATGTATGTATGTATGTATGTATGTATGTATGTATGTATGTATGTATGTATGTATGTATGTATGTATGTATGTATGTATGTATGTATGTATGTATGTATGTATGTATGTATGTATGTATGTATGTATGTATGTATGTATGTATGTATGTATGTATGTATGTATGTATGTATGTATGTATGTATGTATGTATGTATGTATGTATGTATGTATGTATGTATGTATGTATGTATGTATGTATGTATGTATGTATGTATGTATGTATGTATGTATACAGCGTAATGTTGAGCATTTCTTTACATGGTTACAACTGACTACTTAGCTTCCTTATAAAACTTGGGAAGGGGGGGGGGGGTGTCCTCCCTGAAAAAAAAATTGAGGGGAGGGAGGCTAAACTAGACAAAGTCTAGCATTGAATGACAATCAGAACGTTCCGCTGGAGTTTACTAAGATGAAAAAGAGTTAAATAGCAAATGTTTCAGATGTAAGTTAAAGAAATGCCTGCCCGGCACTCAATGAGTTAAGCAACAAATGTTTCTGATGTAAGTTAAAGAAATGCCTGCTCGGGACTCATTGAGTTAAATAACAAATGTTTGTGATATAAGTTAACGAAATGCCTGCCCGGCATCAATGTGTTAAACAGCTTTTGAGACACTGTGAGTAATTAAGAAGTGCCCTGTCTGACATCAAAAGAGTTAATCAATACTGTTTTTACATGACCCATTAGGCGAATTGCGCGATTTTCTCCACAATCTATTCAATTCCACTGCAAACGGTTTCTCTGGTTTGTAAAAGTAAATGTAACATTTTAGTTCAACAGCCCTGATTTTTTATTTTTATTTTGTGATTGCAAAGTAAGTAGTCCATGACCCCCATCCGACATCTGTACGCTTCCACAGAAAAGATGTCTCCTGTTAGTTTTATTATAAATACTACTATCTACTATAACAGAAATAATAAATGCTCACTTTCGGAGCATCCATTTTAGCCGAGGCAGTGTAAGGACTAACGAACACTAAAGTCTAAAGTACATGACTGTAGTGTCACCTAATAGTAGGTAAATGGACTGTCAGCTCTGGTCATTGATTTATTTATAAGTTTTTGGCATCAGGTGTTTCTGTCATTATTTATTTTTCAAACGTTCATCTAAACTTATCATAGGGTATTAAAACCAAAGCATACATTTATATAATATGCATAAAGCAGGGAATTTTTTAAAATAATTCGCAATCATTCTCTTCGATAAATTTAAACGTCGGCCATTTTGTTACTAGTCCTGAGACCGAAACAGTAACACTGTTGGTTATCCCTGGCAAAACAAAAGATGATTACTATTAATTACCTGATACTAATATAGATATGTCAGTTCGCGGGGAACCCTGAGATTTATTCATGTCTCCTCTAGTTGAAAGAGGTTGTTAAATTTAATATTTAGGTAAAGGGTGTCCCCGTGTGTGGGTTCCAGGACTCGATTCTGGCGGGTGAAGCAAGAGGGGTGGGGGGATAAAGTGAAACTCACTGCCTTCCTAAGTCAAGCATGTCAGATAAGGCGACTTCGTCTTCTTCTTCTTCTTCTTCTTGTGTTCACTTTTTGATTTACACCAACAGACAGGTTCTTGTGGTAAACTTGACTGTTTTTATGAGTTCCTTTTTAGTCCCATACAACTTTGTGTGCAGTGGTGACTCTCTGGGCCAGTATTCCCTTCTTAATCGGCTGAACAAGGGACAGTCTTGCAGGACATGTTCTGTAGTCTGCACACATAGCCCACAAGGGCACAAAAGTGAACTACTTGGACGAAGCCTGTGCATATGCTGGTTAAGTTTGTTATGTCCTGTCCTGAGACGTAGGACAATGACCTGCCCATGCCGGTCAAGTAAGTGGTAGTCATCTCTGGCCAGACTCTGTTCACTTCTAATAGCCTGGATGGCCCTTTTCTTCTCAAAGTATGTTTCTGCATTCTCTTCCTGGTGACATTCTGCGCCTTTCTTAGCAAGTTTATCTGCGGTTTCTTTTCCTGGTATACCACAGTGGGATGGCACCCACTGGAGTACAGTACACTTTTGGGCAGCCACCTTGCCAAGTTCAGATCTCAAGTGAAGGAGTTAGCCGCTCTTGAAGGCTTGAAGCACCGATAGCGCATCTGTGAATATGACCACTTGGTGGCAGTCAGAACTGGTGTTGTGTAAAATTTTGGCAGCCTGCTCTAGTGCTACAATCTCTGCTGTGTAGCTGGAACAGAATTTACCAGTGGGTATACACTTTGTGTGGTGGTGGTTGCCTGGGTATGTAATAAAGACTCCAGCACCCCCATTTTTAACCGCACTGGTTGCTGATCCATCTGTGTAAACATGTATCCATGACTGTTCGGGATAGTTTTCATGAATCATGCTAAGAGCAGCTGTTCGTTTTTGAAGATCATTGGACTCATCTCCAGTTGTGAATTCATTGACTGAAGTCATTATCTGTATTGTATCACTGACTTGCTCCCAAGGTACAGGGTATAGGGTAGGTTTCAGCGGTGTTGTTCTAAAAGGTAGATCTGCTTGATACTGTCTTCTAAGTCTTTTCTCCCGGTGGACGAAGCTGCTACGTTTGAGACGCCCCAATGCCAGATCATCTAACCTTTCATTCATTGGGTGTGACTGCGTACTATTAAACTTCTTCATCTGGATTATATTTTTAGTGTCTCTTCTACAGGACAATTTCTGCATTGCAGTTATTTTCTGCATCTCCAGGATTGGTGCAGTTTTCATGGATCCTGTGATGAGTCTAAGGGCTTGATTTTGCACTCTGTCTAACGATTGTAGATGGGAATTAGCAGCTGTTGACCATGCTGTTGCAAGATAAGGCGACTAACAAGGGAAGTTTCCTATGAGTTCAGAATGCATCTGCCTGAGAGATAAAGAACCAACAGTCTGCATACAAATAAACCAAATCTGTAAAACAGATATGCATGCAAAAATCAAGTTCCAGACGGCTGGAACTGAAAGTCAGCCCTTTCCTCCAGAATTTACAGCCGGTAATGTTATGAAGAAATAAGGGAAAAGTACAAACAGGCAAGAATCCAGAGCTGCTAATCTGTAAAGGCAGCCAATAAAGTACTGACTGCTTCACCCACTGGGTGCAGATTGGTCTACACGAATATGAGGTCAACACATATGTCTTTGAGCATAGAAAAAAGACTTTACTCAGTGCCAGTTAAATTCATTTCTGTTGTCTTTGATGTTATGCTGACCCTTCTTTGGAAAACTGAACTAACCCAATCTGGCAGCTGAGGTAATGTAGGGATCTGCCAGCCTGAAAATGCAAATCTTAGGTTCAAATCCTTATCAAGACTGATCTTTTTCAAAATTAATTATAGCTGCCAGATCAACCCAGCTTGAAATCTGTACTAGGTAATTACCTGGGAAGTGAAGGTGGCTAGTGTGATGTTAATCACATCACCCGTCGAGTACCAGTTGGTCTATAAAATGTGAGGCTTAGGCCTACATCATATGCCTGAGATATCGCTGGTGTTGAATGTGTCTGAAGTGTATTGATATTTATGACCTGATTCTGTATGAGTTAACTAAAATGGTACATAATCAATTCCTTAGTATAGAATAAGTTCATGGTTTAGTATAGAATAAGAATGAGTTCATAGTTTAGTATAGAATAAGAATGAGTTCACAGTTTAGTACAGTATAGAATGAGTTCTTGGTTAAATGTAAAGTTCATGGTTTAGTATAGAATAAGTTCATGGTTTAGTATTGAATAAGAATAAGTTCATGGTTTAGTAAAAATAGGAATGAGTTTGTGGTTTAGTTTAGAAAAAGAATAAGTTCATGGTTTAGTATAGAATAAGAATGAGTTCATGGTTTAGTATAGAATCAGTTCACATTATAGTATAGAATGCATTTTTTGTTAAGTATAGATTAAGTTCATGGTTTAGTGTAGAATAAGTTTATAGTTTAGTATAGAATAAGAATAAGTTCACGGTTTAGTATAAATTAAGTTCATGGTTTAGTATAGAATAATAAGTTCATGGTTTAGTATAGAATATAGATAAGTTCACGGCTTAGTATAGAATGAGTTCATGGTTAAGTATAGAATTAATTCATGGTTTAGTAAAGAATAAGAATTAAAAGTAAAGTAAAGGACCCTTCTTCATGCCTGCAGGTGTACTGGGCATATAGGGCTAGACCTATATTTTATAGAACCAATCAGCACTCTATGGATGATATAGCCAACATCACACTGGCCACCTTTACTTCCCAGATTTTACCTGGTACCCATTTAAGGCTGGGTCAACCTGGGAGCAAAGGTCATTAAAAAAAAAGTCTGGCTCTGTCACTAACTGAACCTATGACTTTCGGATCCTTAGGCAACAGTCTAGCTGCTACACCATGGTGGTTAAATTAAAATGAGTTCATGATTTAGTTTTGAATGAGAATGAGTTAATAAGGGCTTACAGTAATAACCTCCTCATGGTCACTCATAATAACAAGTGTGATCTCAAAGGAAAATTCTGCCATATTGACTGTTTAAATGTAGCAATTGTACCTTGCATGCCAAGACTGTTGTTTTGGGTCAGCCCCAAATTGTGGTGGGATTCTCTTTATTTCTGACCAGAATGGCTCTTGGACCAACACTGGATCACTGTAAACATTGCTCTAAAAACTGAGAACATTGAGAGGAAGAGAACTTACCGACCTTATTTCTCATTGATTTAACGGATGTGGAAGTCTAACAACTTTGCAGTTTTACAGCAATATCAGACATGGGCCTGCTTGTATTTTTTTTTTAAAAACTTAAGCATTGATAAAAGATGTAGAAGGATACTGTGGGAACTGTTTTGTCAATTTTTGTGACTTGTCTCTTTTTCTTACAGTAACAGCTACAATACATAAGGATGGCATCAACTAAAGCAAGGCAGAGAAACATTGATAAACAAGTACTTCCCAAACAGTTTAATGCACCAAAAGGTAGCGGTGATGACAAACAAGAAGTTAAAACCTCCAGAAGGTAAGAGTTTTTGTGTGTGAATATTATAGACATTTTCAACATCTGATAGTTTAAAAGGAGGCACTTTAGCAAAGTGACTTTTAATATTAATGTAAATAAAGCTGCTCATAAAGGAGTGCAAATCTGTGGTCTAAAGTTTAGTGATGTCTTCTCACAGTGCGGTCGTCAATGTTTACCAGGGTTCAGTTCCTTCGGTTGGTATTTCAGAAAATGGCTGTGCTTCCAGTGTTCAGACGTGGTACGAGGGTCTCACTCTGGAAGAGACTAGGGCCTTACCACATAAAAATAAATAGTCAGCTGTGGAGACATTGAAGCCAGCCTCCATTGCGGAGATGGTATAGTTTTATTTAAAAGGAGAGAAGCCGATCTTCTACTTCTGCTGTTCAGCTCCTATTTGAAGATAGGGTGACCAGTTCCCTTCTCTCCCTGTCTTGTCTTCAAACTTGTGTGGTACAAGTAACTCACCATGCAGAAATTATTTACTAATTTTAATAGAGACCTATCTCTTCTTTTTGAAGTTCACTGGCTGTAAACTCCAATGGAAAGTTCTGGTTGTTCATCCACCTCCAGATTTTGGTCTTGTTCTGGAACCTGAGTGTTGCATGTACATTCGTTTTAAAGATCTGGCTTATTTGTATGTTAGTTCCCTGCCTCTCAGGCATGGATGCACTCGGACTTTGAAGAATGCTCCCTAATTAGTTGACTCCTACAACATGCTTTTTGGGAAGGCAGTGGGTCTATACTTGTTTCCCCCACAGTGGGGCCCTGGAACCTACACAGAGAAATACAAGCGAGAGAAAGTTGGAGAGCCACTAAAGACATGGAACAAAAGTTAAATGCTTTTAAAAATAAATGTCTGAGGAAAAAAAGATGATAATAAAATGGGATGAAATAAAGAGGAGTGAAGAAATAAGAGATTTCCAGGCAACCATTAGTCTTAACATTAATAAGACAGAGAAGATGGTGCTATATTGGACACATTATGAGAAGAGACAAACAGAGAATCACCAGACAGACACTGAAATGGGAAATAAAAGGAACTGAGGAAATGACATCCAAGAGCAACCCCGAGATATAAAAAAGGTAAAGTAAAAGTCAAGGACCCTTTTCATAAAAGTGGTCCTTCAGGTGTATGATGTTGTACTCATATTTGTATAGACCAATCAGTCAAGGAACCTTTTCATACCAGTGGTCCTTCAGGTGTATGATGTTGTACTCATATTTGTAAAGACCAATCAGTCAAGGAACCTTTTCATACCAGTGGTCCTTCAGGTGTATGATGTTGTACTCATATTTGTATAGACCAATCAGTCAAGGACCCTTTTCATACCAGTGGTCCTTCGGGTGTATGATGTTGTACTCATATTTGTATAGACCAATCAGTCAAGGACCCTTTTCATACCAGTGGTCCTTCAGGCGTATGATGTTGTACTCATATTTGTATAGACCAATCAGTCAAGGAACCTTTTCATACCAGTGGTCCTTCAGGTGTATGATGTTGTACTCATATTTGTATAGACCAATCAGTCAAGGACCCTTTTCATACCAGTGGTCCTTCAGGTGTATGATGTTGTACTCATATTTGTATAGACCAATCAGTCAAGGAACCTTTTCATACCAATGGTCCTTAAGGCGTATGATATTGTACTCATATTTGTATAGACCAATCAGTCAAGGACCCTTTTCATAAAAGTGGTCCTTCAGGTGTATGATGTTGTACTCATATTTGTATAGACCAATCAGTCAAGGACCCTTTTCATAAAAGTGGTCCTTCAGGTGTATGAAATTGTACTCATATTTGTATAGACCAATCAAGGACCCTTTTCATACCAGTGGTCCTTCAGGTGTAGGATGTTGTACTCATATTTGTATAGACCACCCAGCTCTCAGTGGATAATGCCAGTAGCATGCTGGCCACCTTTACTTCTTGGGACATTTCCTGGTTCCCATTCTCATGCTGGGTTGACTTGTGCTCCAAGATCAGTTATTAAAGAAATTTGCTTGGTTGAGAATTCGTACTCAAGATCTTTTGGTCGATAGACAAGCATCTAGTCACTACCACAGCTGCCCAGAGTTTCATGAATCTGGGAGTTTGTATTATTCATGCTGAGTGAACATGGTGCTCTATAAAAGAAACATTTCTGTACAGCCTTTAACTGAAAGCATATAGCTGTGTTCGTAAGCCAATTCACTATTCATGATACCCCATGATCTACACTTATAACTGAGTGAAACGTCACAGTAAAGAACCCTTTATAAAAATATCAGCTCATGTGCAAATGTGAACCTAAAACTCAAAACTCAGGCAGACATCTAACCATTGTGCTTCGGCAGACTCTAATGCCTGAGTGTCATTGTAATAATTCAGCATTATTTGTTTCTTTACAGATGGATTCCTGCTTTTTTAATTGCTTTAGTTGTGACATTGGTCATTCCAATGATGCTGCTGATTGTGTGGCCATCACCTATTCAGCCAGTGGTAATAGAAGGGTAATGATAGTCTTACATAATTTAATTTCTCACCTTTTTGTTTAATTTCTCATTATTCTTTTTTGAAACACAGTGTTTTCTGATATGCACAAAGCCTTATTATTTTAGTTACATATTACAAATTTAGCATTTATCAGTTCCCCCCCCCCCCCCCCCCCCCCCCCCCCCCCCAGGACACATTAATAAACATTAAGATAGATCCTGTGTGGTTCTGGATATATAATTAACAAATAAATTTGGGGTGGGGGGTTGTGGTGGTTTGACCCAGTGCCCTGTAATAAGCAATGCATGATGGGTGACAAATTAAGGGTTTGCTGAAATTGGATGTGTTTGGTCGAAAGGTGCAGATTTAAAAATCAGCTGTAAACCAAAACACAACGTTCCAACTTCCAACTTCTCTTTAAGGGCAAACACAGAATAAAAAGAAGCCAATGAAGAAGAAACTATAAGATAGTGAAACAGACGGCTACTGTTACGTGATCTGTAAAATATGAAAAAGGTCTAGCTAGTCTCTTGACAAATGTATGAATGTATCTAAAGGCATTGTGCTTTCATACATTTGAAGTCACATCAGAATGAGGCAAGATGGATAAGTTTTCTTCACCGGCTTTCCAGAACATTCTGACAATGATCTAGTAGCAGTAACATTTGATGCAGCTGCATCGACATGGCAAACAGTAACACAAAATCCCTTGGTGAAACCCCACTTTAAAATGTAGTCATGCACCTGTTTAGAGAGCCACTCGAACAAACATGGAGGAACAGACAGTGTTATAAAATATGAAAAGAAACAGTTTTAAATGAGCAATGTTTAGTGAGTATGCCGAGAAAGAAATACGGTCTGATCAAATAGTTTTTGACTATGGCAGTGTTAATGAAAGATTTTGTTGATATATAAAACCAAAAATGTAAATTATACAAAATCAGCAGTTAAAATATTTGCCTTGCAGTCTACACCATAGAAGGTGTAAAGAGAGAGAGAGAGAGAGAGAAGGCACGGAGGGAGGGAAAGGGATATAAACCCTGGGTAGACTAAGAACAAAATCGAAAAATAATATGTGAGAAACTACAATAATACAAAATGTTTTTGGTCGAGCTAGCCAGAAGCCGAAGACTCAGAACCTGATATATCTCTCAACACCTGAGGTGGTAAAATAATAAATGAAGAGGAGGAAGAAGATTTGATGCAAGAGAAAAACAATGAAGATTTTTGAATGGACTGAAGTTCCTGTGTCAAGATCTTGTTCTCTGTGCATTTCAGGCTGCCAGAACCGCCAGAGTTAACTGGTCCTTTAGAACCCAATAATATCTTAACTTTTGCTGAGCAGATCTATCGTGATGAGGTGCATGGTCCTGAATCTATTGTTGCTGATGGAGGTTGGTGCTTGTATTTTGTTTCTTCTTTTCTCATTGTCGAGAGCAGCAAAAAAAAAAAAAAATACCCAGGTTCTCATATATCTACTTCTGTATTCACACTCAAAAGGATGGTTTGCATATGTGGTTGTGGTTTACAGCTAGGTTACTGTGAATGCGCCCTTTGGCCCAACACATCTGATTTAAGCAAAACCTTGTCGCATTTGATGACCTGCTTGTTAAAAGGTGGTGGGTCTTTACCTGAGTCTTTCACTAGATATTGATAAAAAGTAGTGAAATCATTTCACTCTTTCATTTCGAAGCAGTAAGTATAATAGGTTTTTTCCCATTAATCATAGGTATTGCATAATTTATCAACACGGCCTTCCCTGTGACTTCCAACCATTGCATAATTTATTGACAGGTTCTTTCCTGTGACTTCCAGCCTTACATCATTTATTGACAGGTTCTTTCCTGTGACTTCCAGCCTTACATTATTTATTGACAGGTTCTTTCCTGTGACTTCCAGCCTTACATCATTTATTGACAGATTCTTTCCTGTGACTTTCAGCCTTCATTATTTATTGACATGTTCTTTGCTGTGACTTTCAGCCTTACATCATTTATTGACAGGTTCTTTCCTGTGACTTCCAGCCATATGTCATTTATTGACAAATTCTTTACTGTGACTTCCAGCCTTATGTCATTTATTGACAGGTTCTTTCCTGTGACTTCCAGCCTCATGTAATTTATTGACAGGTTCTGTCCTGTGACTTCCAGCCTTATGTCATTTTTTGACAGATTCTTTGCTGTGACTTCCAGCCTTACATCATTTAATAACTTGTTATTTCCTGTCACTTCCAGCCTTACATCATTTATTGACAGGTTCTTTCCTGTGACTTTCAGCCTTACGTCATTTATTGACAGGTTCTTTCCTGTGACTTCCAGCCTTACGTCATTTATTGACAGGTTCTTTCCTGTGACTTCCAGCCTTATGTCATTTATTGACAGGTTCTTTCCTGTGACCTTGAGTGATTACATAATTTGTTGATAGGTTATTTCCCATGAATCCCAGCTATTGTATATTTTGTTGATAAGTTCTTTCCCAGGAATCCCAGGGGTTACAGGATTTATTGATAGGTGTTTCCCCTGAATCCCAGCCATTGTATAATTTGTAAAGTTCTTTCCCATAATATTAAGTTCTTTCCCATAATATTTTGCCACTGCATAATTTATTGATATGTTCTTTCCCCTGAGCCCTTGCATAATTTGTTAATAGGTTATTTCCTGTGGATCTTGGTCATTGCATAATTTGTTTATTGTTCTATGAATCCTAGCCATTGTAAAATTTTCCATTTAGCCAGAGCTAACTAAAGCTGTGAGGCTTTCTCGGTGGCCACTACCGCTGTAAGTTCAGTTCCTTTGAAAGTATTGTGAACTCATGGTTTTTTCCCCTGGTGGTTATTATTCCCCTTAGGCATCTGATGTGCTTGATTATATTGTTCGACAAGGCACTTGATGATGATGATAAGGCATCAGATGCAAATTTTTTTGGGACCAAAAGAGTTGAGGCCATTTAGTTTGCTCCCAAATATCTGAAATCATAATGGTTTCCAACTATTTCTTGTTTCTCATAACCTATGATTCCTTTTTGTTTCAACAATAACAGATCATCTGTACACGGGAACAGCAGATGGATGGGTCAACCACATTCATCAAGGTGTTGTCCAGAAGATTGTCAGATTTGGGAAAGAACCCTGCGGTGTGTGTTTGATTTTGATTTTGTTCTACTATGTCGTCGTATGTGGCATCTAATATTTATTTTAAAAGTTGATTGCATTGCTGTTTGAAAAAAAAGAAAGCATGTAGGTAGGTAAATTTTACCCCACCAGGACATCACACAGAGTGTTAAACACCCGGTGACACAAAGTACCACCATGGGTATGAGAATCACCCATGGAGAGGTCCCAGAAACTGAGTTCAACCATGGGTGGGGGCTTCAAAATAACGAAACACTGCGTCCCACATGGGAGGCAAATTTAAAAGGAAGCATGGAAAAAATGTTATTAGCATACCGTTTGTTGGTACCTTTCTGTCTTTACAGACGACGGTGTTACATTATGTTACAGAGCCAGTTTCATAGCCAGTTAAGGCTAGGGATGAAGTTCCTCCTCTCCATAGCACAAAGCCTGGGTAGTATTGTAGAGACCAAGTGAAACTTTATTTGCATACTGTATAGTTAAAAATAAGGTGCTTTAAACGTTTTTCACCCCAGAAAGAGAGTGATTTCCCTTCCCATTCATGCCTCGCCGTGTCGCAGGGCCTGTCCTATTTTGTGGGGCTGTCACAATTAGTGAGCGGCCAGCAACACGCAGTATTTTAGTTGTTGTTGTCAGCGGCCGGAGATATCATGTGTTCTATATTCCATGATGTGAGCATTTTTAACGGCCCCAGAACATGTAAAACTGGCCCCAACCACAACCACCCTACCACACAGCCTCAGCCTACATCCCAGGCGAGAGTGCAGCCTACGTCCTACGACTGCATACAGCCTATAATATATGCTGCATACAGTCCTGCAACCTAGGCTGCAAGCAGTCATGGGACGTAGGCTGAGGCTGTGGGGTAGGGAGGTTGTGGTTAGGGCCAGTTTTACATGTTCTGGGGCCATTAAAAGCGCTCACATCATGGAATATAGAACACCGCATTAGCGCAGTCGATACTCGCTTTCAAATCCAACTGCGACTCGCTGCAGCCATGGTCGGTGTTCAAAACCGGGCGGTTCCCGGGGTTCACCCGGCCTCTAGGAAATGGGCACCAGAGTTGACACTCTGGGGTATATGGAGGAACGTCGCTGTAGCTACAGTGTTATGTGCAGACGGTGACACAGGTGGACAATTCTTATCAGCTGTCCGTACTGGTGGCAGAGCAAGGTTTATAACTGTGTGCAATGACACTGGTTCACATCTCCCGACTTTACCTTTACCTTTAAATAGAACACAGTGATATCGCCGGCTGCTGACAACGAGTTAAATACTACATGTTGCTGGCCGCTCACTAATTGTGACAACCCCACAAAATAGGACAGGCCCTGCGACACGGCGAGGCATGAATTGACACGTTAAATTATATAGCTTAACACATGACCTTTGGTAAGTTACTGCCCAGTCACAGCACCATAATGTTTTTTGGCTTAAAAGACACCAGTCGTGGGCACACTGAGATTTGACCAACATAATATAAGAGAGGTTGGACATGGAGCTTCATGAATCAACCCAACTAAAACTCAGATTTGCACCTGCTGAGGTACAGTTTACCAATAACTAAATTGTGCAATCTCTTGTTTATGTTTTCACCATTGAAACATTTACTGATAACTATTGATGAAGACAGAATCCACATAAATGTGTTTCAAGTGCTGTGACATGTATTCCAGTTAAATAATATATCAGTTCTCAGGCATATAATGGTGACTTTATCCTCACTGTAAGTGGCTGTCATAATATATTTCTTCTAAAGTAAATGGTGAATATTTTCTTATTTTTTTTATAACAAGTGGACTTCATTATGAAAGAAATGTTTATATCTGATCCTCTGCTACACGGTTGTGACATTTTCTTGATAGTAGATGATTTTCATACTGAAAACATAATAGCTACTGTTCCATTCCACATGAGTGCATGTTTGAATATTTGTCTTTTCTGTAGGTGGCTTTCATAATGAGGTAACCTGTGGACGACCATTGGGCATGAGGATGGACAAGATTGGATTTCTCATTGTGATAGATGCATATTATGGCTTGTTTCGAGTCAATGTGGTCACAGGTGGGTTTTCTTTTTGATATACACTGATTCAAAAAAAATCATATGAGAAATTCATATTTTGTTTCCAGCTTGCTGTGGTGTCTTGGCAGAACATGTATCACTGGCTATGCCTTATGCCTAATGTTCAACACATGTGTACTGTATGCAGTTCATTCGATCAGTTGATCAGTCTGTCCCCTCAGGGCTGCTTCCTAGTGATTTATCATACCATCCTGAGAATAACAAATCTCAATCTGGACAGCAAACCAACAAGACAGATCCCAGATATCCTGTTCAACTCCCAGAGAATTTATAGTCAGGGCTCCCGTAACGGATACGTCAGCCAGGGTCGCCAGCAGTCCCATGAGGGGTAAGGACGCTGTATGCTGTAAGCTTATTTACTTTAAATATCTACCAGATCCTATGTACCAAATTCTATCTTAATATACAGAAGTGAGTTGTGGACAGTTAGTAGATTAGTGAAAAATGACTTGGAAGCTGCGGGGATGTGGTTATATAGACAGATGATGAGAATGCCCTGGACAGATGAAAAGAGTGATGAAGATGTCCTGAAAGAAACTGGCTCATAAAGAAAACACTGACTGCCAACATCAGAAAGAGACTTGGTCATGTGATGAGGAGAAAACTGGAGTAGATTGTGACAGTAGGAAACTCAGAGGGGAGGAGAGGCAGAGGGAGACAGAGAGAAAAGGTGTGTCAGAGATGATTGAAAGTACACAAGAGAAGGTTGTTGATAGACATGACTCCCAGCGCCACACTGCATGGACTTTATGAAGACGATTTACCAGACTAGCTCCTGAGGTAAAGATGAGAAGGGAACTTGTCTCTCTTAGCTTCTACTCTGCTGCGTACTAACGTTTCATCATCATTGAAATAATGAATCCATTGATCATGTTTTATTACTTTCACCTGTTTCAGGGGACTATGATGCACTTTATTTATCCTCAACACCCATCAATGGAAAGCCAGCAAAGTTTTTAAATGACTTGGATATTGGGCCAGATGGGAAAATTTACTTCACTGATTCCAGTACTCGCTGGCCAAGGAATCAGTTTGGTATGATTTTGCTGGAGGGAATTCCTAATGGAAGGTGACTTTTAGCTTATTATTTTACAACTGTTTCAGTCTAATTTATAATAGTTTGCGTATTTGTGAAAATTTTTTGTTATTGTTTCTTTGACATTTATCAAATCTGGTATTTATTTTTTCTGTTTCTTTGTAAAATTTATTTGAATACTTTTTAAAACTATCAATAGTCTGTGGCTGTGTCTGCTGTCTTCTGTATGCTATTTATTGCATATAGTTTTCTTCTACTGAAATATAACTGAGGTTATAAAATGACTTCTAAGAAGTCCTGCTATGACTGTGTGTAGTTGCTTAAGATCAAGTTAACAGTTTTAAATATTTTAAAAATGAGAAATTCAGTGATTGAAAGATTAAACCAAATCTGTGATCAAGTTAACAACTTAAAAAATAAACAGTATTGCTAAATTCTGTCTATACCAAATAGTTTTTATTGAAAACAAAAATCCTCTGTTTAAAAAACAATTAATGCTATGAAAATCTGGAAGATAAGGCATTAGATAATTATGAGAGAGCTATGTTTGGCAGAGGGAAAGTTCAACAAAATAGCTTACTGAGTAGGTTATTGCAGCAGCTATGTGGCATAGAGAGGATTCTTCTTCCCACTCACTGGCTATAAACATCAGCCAAAAGTTCTGGTTGTCCATCCACTTTTGGACTATAGTTCCACCCCCCCCCCAGAACTTGAGTTTTGCCTGCACATCCATTTTACAGATCTGGCATATTTGTATGCAGACTCTTAGTTCCTTGCCTCTTAAGCAGATACACTCTCACTTTAAGGGAAAACCTCTTATTAGTTGACTGCTGCCATATGCTTATTAGGGATCAAGTCTGTCTCCTCAGCAAAGTTTCTGGTTATTAATGGAAGTTATACAAATTGTCTTGTTGATGTTGTTTGTTTGTTACACTTGCTGTGCTTATGTTCATTAGAAAATATAACACAGTTGTGTTCTTGTTGAAAATATTTCTGTGTTTAGTGTGATTGTTTACTGTCCGACTGTCTGCAGGCTGCTGATGTATGACCCAGCAACACAAACGACAACAGAATTATTCAGCAGTTTGTTGTTTGCTAATGGGGTGCAGCTGACCAAGGACAAGAGTGCGGTACTTGTTGTAGAAACAGTCAGAGCCAGAATTCTCAAGTAAGTACATAAATACAGCTGCTATGTTCTGGCCTGTGTAGCTAAGAGGTTAATGCGTCTGGATCACAATTATGGGTGTCATAAGGTTCAGTTTCTTTTTCATAAAAAGACCATTCTTGTAGCTTTTGAACAGTGGGGTACAGTCGTTAGGCATAGAAGAGATCTGGTCTCACCACATACAAGTAGATGCACAAATACTCACTGCTGCAAGTCTTCATGCTGGAGATAGAACATCAGATTTCATACATCAGATTTCATGGCCTGTTCAGTTACAGTAAAACACACTAGACCGATTACACTTAATTGTGGTGATTTTGGTTTAGGCTGGAGGAATTTAAGACCTCCATGTAATGTTAAAGGGTGCCAGTTTGGCTGTTTTCTGTATTACAAAACTCATACGTGGCTTCAGCCATATGTTTATGCAGTAAACTATGGATAAATGGTTGTCTCAGACCTGAACAGAAGTGACAGTGATCACGGAGACATGATCAGAAATCACAAAGTGCTTTAATCCCCTGACAGTCAGACATGGAGAAGAGTAAGTCAAATAAACAGGCCTCATTTGTCAGAATATACATCTTATTTATGGAGATGGTAAAAAGTTTTCACACATGGTTAATTCTGGTACACCCACATTGAGGTCTTTGTCAGCAGTACAGAGCTAGTGTGCTGTGTAGAGGTCTGCTTGTGTCATTTGTGAGTAGTCTCCTGTAATTCTTCAGGAAACCAAACCTGGCAACCAGTCAAGATCTGGGAAAACACTAGTTCTGTCTTGTATATGTCGTGATCACCTGATGGTTTTGATGTATAATTGTTAATGAACTGATGTCACTGCACACAAGGCTGGCCTCTAAGTGTGTGGTGTCTCCAGGCAGAAAATTAAGAGTGGGGACGCTGATTCCCCTTGTTTTGAGCTGGTTAGTGCAGGTGGAAACCACCAGGCATCGCACCAGAAATTTTAATTTTAATAGCAAGGGCATGCAAACGCAACAGTTCAAGGTTCAGATCCAGCAGAGGAAGGCATCCTAAATCTGGATAACAGCCCTGTTAAATGCATATTTATGTTCTGGAAAAACAGGGAAGAAGAAGGTAATTTTACTATCTAATATAATGAATAGATCTACATTTGAATGAAGGAAGACATGGAGAAGAGATGCTGGTTTGGATAGAAGAGGTGTTAAAAAATGCCTGTAAGGACATGTGACAGCACAAGCTGGTTGAGGGCATGTGGCGCCCGTCCCTTTACCTCCAGCCAGATAAAGAAAAATGAGAAAAGACCTAATACTTATAACATCCTATCGCATGACTTCCCCAGTTTATGCGTGATTATTGTCTTATCATTCTTTCACATGACTTCCCCAGTTTATACGTGATTACTGTCTTACCATTCTATCAGTTGAAACTTTTAATTTCTGACCATTATTCAGATACGATCTGAAGACCAAGGAAGTAACTGTGTGGGCTGAAAATATCCCAGGATTTCCAGATAACATTCGTTATAGTAAAATCACTGGAACTTTCTGGGTTGGCTTAGCCTGGACTAGACACAGAGGAGGATTTTCTATCATAGATTATCTGGCTCCTCTGCCACGAGTAAGAGCACTTCTGGCAAAGGTAAGGTTGAGGTGTTTAATTAACTCTTTCCTTCTTCTTCTTCTTCTTCTTCTTTTCTTCTGTCATTTATCCATCTTGGAACATAGACTTTCAGCCAACTCAACTAGACTGTCTTTATCTTTTGTCAACTCCTGTAGTTCCCTGTGTTATCTTTTGTCAACTCCTGTAGTTCCCTGTGTTATCTTTTGTCAACTCCTGTAGTTCCCTGTGTTATCTTTTGTCAACTCCTGTAGTTCCCTGTGTTATCTTTTGTCAACTCCTGTAGTTCCCTGTGTTATCTTTTGTCAACTCCTGTAGTTCCCTGTGTTATCTTTTGTCAACTCCTGTAGTTCCCTGTGTTATCTTTTGTCAACTCCTGTAGTTCCCTGTGTTATCTTTTGTCAACTCCTGTAGTTCCCTGTGTTATCTTTTGTCAACTCCTGTAGTTCCCTGTGTTATCTTTTGTCAACTCCTGTAGTTCCCTGTGTTATCTTTTGTCAACTCCTGTAGTTCCCTGTGTTATCTTTTGTCAACTCCTGTAGTTCCCTGTGTTTCCTCCTCATATTAACCATCTCAAGACTGAAAAGAGGAAGGTCTTGGATGGCGCAAACTGACTGGCCAGCTGGCGCTGGATAATCAGAAGTTCAACAAAAGATTCACCACAATTCCCACCCAAGTGATATTGTTATCTATACAGATGGTTCTGTGTTGAGGGGCAGACAAAATGCATAGGGGTTTATAGCAAAGGCGAATGGACGTCACTTGGTGCAACAAAGCCTGGTATATATCATAATGTCTAGTTTGAGAATGGAGATGGAGGCAGTCACTGTTGCCTTTTGCTGGCTTGAGAATAAGCTGTACACACATGCCGTGATTGTCACTCACTCATAGAGCATGCTGAGAAAGGTGGAGACAGGTATGCTCCATGCAGAGTGGCAAACATCACTTTAGATGTCCCGGTTTGTTAGTATCCTTTGGTTATTCTCTCCAGGTCATGCCGGTGTGTTGGGAAATGAGCAGGCAGATAGACTGGACAGTTGTGCACCACTTGGTGGTGAACTGATGTATGACAAGTTAGATGTTGTGAGGGCCCTCTGAGAGTGAGTGAACAGTGCGGAAGTGCAAATTGATCATTAAGGTCTGAGGGGAATGGCACTGTGAGGAGTTACCAGGGGATCTGGCGGACGTTCAACACTGAGAGGAAGGGCGAAGTGGATATACAATCAGACATTTACTGGTGCCATCGGAATTGGAACTCTTCATTTGCTGCTGAAGATGGGGACGGAGCGCTTATGGGGGTGTCCTGAGTGCTATGATGTTGATTCTTAATTTAGCATTCAACATTAATCATCTCAGACTTTTTTCCTGTGTGTTTTTAGGACTTCCATTGAGTTCTAATGTAAGGTTAATCTTGTTATGTTTTAGGTGTATACCCTGCCTTTCCTCACCTCTTTATTTACTGATATTTGGTTAGTTCTTCCACTAGTTTCTACATTTTCTAACTTTTACTGTGGATTCAAACCCTTTGACCCATGCCTAAGAACCCGGTATTTTTAACCATCCCACCAGCCACTTCTCTTCGCCATTATGATTGTCCTGTTCATAAACTCCTAGGAGGTTAAACAAGACATTTGGGATATGTCTGTTGGATTGCCATTCATTGGGCAACAGTTTGAGTCTGAGAACAGACAGACCTTCAGGTAGCAGCTCAGAGGGAAAAGATAGGCAGTATAATAATATGCAGTATTGTTTATTAGATTACAAGAAGTGTGAACAACACAAAGTCATTAAACAATTTATGAACAAATGCAGTAATCACGTTCTTGGTAGATACTTCTAGAAAATGATATTTGAGCTTTGTGATAATTTTGGCATATCAAGATTGGTTTGCAGAGGCCTCCAGCCAGTATGACAGTAGAGTGTGACTCTAGGCTGCCTTTGTGTGACTGTTTTCAATGATTAAATGGGGTATCTGGAATTTGTTCTTTTGAGTTGGTATCTGGAAAGTTGTCCCCACTTCTTTTCAACTTGGCCCTGGAGAAAATTGTAAGAAAATTTAAACAATAGTGTGCCATAGGAAAATCTACAAGAATACTTGGATATGCAGATGATATTTATATCGTTGGAGAAAATGAACTAGAGACTGTTAAAACACTGACTCTTAAAAAAAATCAGCTCACAAAATGGAACTAGTTATCAATCAAGATAGAACAGAATACATAATAATAACTAGACAGGGAAAGGATAAAAACTCCGGCCATATACGAGTCAATAATATGAAAATCAAACAAATGGAAATATATAAGTATTTGGGTACAAACTTCAACTGCTCAAACATGCTGAGAGGAGAAATACAGTCTAGAATACAATCTGGAAATAAAGTTTACTATGCCCTTCAACATCTGCTAAGGTCAAAGTGTCTGTCTCCCAACACAAAGATGAAAATATATGAAATGTTAATAAGACTGGTCATTTTATGTGGCTCTGAAACTTGGAGCACAACTAAAAGAGATGAAGCCTTACTTCAGGTTTTCGAAAACAGAGTCTTAAAGACAAATCTTTGGAGCCATCAAAGATGCATACAGCCGGGAATGGAGATTGAGAAGCAACAACAAAATTCGTAATCTGTTTAAATCACCACTGATCAATGGTATCATGAGAACTAATAGACTGATTGGTGGGGCATATTGAAAGAATGTCAGATGACAGAGAAGTAAAAACTGTATACCAGGGAGATGAATGGTCGTAGACCACAAGGCAGACCAAGAAGACGATGGAGAGATAATGTCCAGGCAGACCTGCAAACACTTGGTATCACCAACTGGAAAGAGAAGGCCAACCAGAGAGATGAATGAACGCGGGTGGTATCTGCAGCAATGAACCTCAAGGGCTCAGAATGCTGAAGAAGAAGAAGAATCTGGAAAGTTAATCTTTAAGTCACAGGGAGTTAAACCTTCAGGCTGCAGGCCTGGAGAAGGAAGGCAGGGAAAAAAGCTTTAGCAATGTGTATGTCATGAATAAAAGACTGCATACAGACAGTGTATGTCATGAATAAAAGACTGCATACAGACTGTGTATGTCATGAATAAAAGACTGCATACAGACTGTGTATGTCATCAATAAAAGACTGCATACAGACTGTGTATGTCATGAATAAAAGACTGCATACAGACTGTGTATGTCATGAATAAAAGACTGCATACAGACTGTGTATGTCATGAATAAAAGACTACATACAGACTGTGTATGTCATGAATAAAAGACTACATACAGACTGTGTATGTTATGAATAAAAGACTGCATACAGACTGTGTATGTCATGAATAAAAGACTACATACAGACTGTGTATGTCATGAATAAAAGACTGCATACAGACTGTGTATGTCATGAATAAAAGACTGCATACAGACAGTGTATGTCATGAATAAAAGACTGCATACAGACAGTGTATGTCATGAATAAAAGACTGCATACAGACTGTGTATGTCATGAATAAAAGACTGCATACAGACAGTGTATGTCATGAATAAAAGACTGCATACAGACTGTGTATGTCATGAATAAAAGACTGCATACAGACTGTGTATGTCATGAATAAAAGACTGCATACAGACAGTGTATGTCATGAATAAAAGACTACATACAGACTGTGTATGTCATGAATAAAAGACTGCATACAGACTGTGTATGTCATGAATAAAAGACTGCATACAGACTGTGTATGTCATCAATAAAAGACTGCATACAGACTGTGTATGTCATGAATAAAAGACTGCATACAGACTGTGTATGTCATGAATAAAAGACTGCATACAGACTGTGTATGTCATGAATAAAAGACTGCATACAGAATGTGTATGTCATGAATAAAAGACTGCATACAGAATGTGTATGTCATGAATAAAAGACTGCATACAGAATGTGTATGTCATGAATAAAAGACTGCATACAGACTGTGTATGTCATGAATAAAAGACTACATACAGACTGTGTATGTCATCAATAAAAGACTGCATACAGACTGTGTATGTCATGAATAAAAGACTGCATACAGACTGTGTATGTCATGAATAAAAGACTGCATACAGACTGTGTATGTCATGAATAAAAGACTGCATACAGACAGTGTATGTCATGAATAAAAGACTGCATACAGACTGTGTATGTCATGAATAAAAGACTGCATACAGACTGTGTATGTCATGAATAAAAGACTGCACACAGACTGTGTATGTTATGAATAAAAGACTGCAAACAGACTGTGAATGTCATGAATAAAAGACTGCATACAGACAGTGTATGTCATGAATAAAAGACTGCATACAGACTGTGTATGTCATCAATAAAAGACTGCATACAGACTGTGAATGTCATCAATAAAAGACTGCATACAGACTGTGTATGTCATCAATAAAAGACTGCATACAGACTGTGAATGTCATGAATAAAAGCCTGCATACAGACTGTGTATGTCATGAATAAAAGACTGCATACAGACTGTGAATGTCATGAATAAAAGACTGCATACAGACAGTGTATGTCATGAATAAAAGACTACATACAGACTGTGTATGTCATGAATAAAAGACTACATACAGACTGTGAATGTCATGAATAAAAGCCTGCATACAGACTGTGTATGTCATGAATAAAAGACTACATACAGACTGTGTATGTCATGAATAAAAGACTACATACAGACTGTGAATGTCATGAATAAAAGACTGCATACAGACTGTGTATGTCATGAATAAAAGACTGCATACAGACTGTGTATGTCATGAATAAAAGACTGCATACAGACTTTGTATGTCATGAATAAAAGACTACATACAGACTGTGTATGTCGTGAATAAAAGACTGCATACAGACTGTGTATGTCATGAATAAAAGACTGCATACAGACTGTGTATGTCATGAATAAAAGACTGCATACAGACTGTGAATGTCATGAATAAAAGACTACATACAGACAGTGTATGTCATGAATAAAAGACTGCATACAGACAGTGTATGTCATGAATAAAAGACTGCATACAGACTGTGTATGTCATGAATAAAAGACTGCATACAGACAGTAAATTACCAGTGACTGTAAATGGGCTACAGCAGAAATGATTTAAACAAAAATAGAAACTAGAAAGTTTGAAATACAATTGTTAACTAAACATCCTTATGATGAAGCAAATCAACTGGCACCAGTTGTAATGGGACTGCACTGACTTCTGAATATTGGGATGGAGTGTTTATGGGAGTTTAAGAGTTTTCAAAGTGCTGTTTTGTTAATTATTAACATTTATGATGAAGATGAGGAGTGTAATCTAAGTTGTATTCAAGCCATGAATAAATACTGAAAATAGATCAACTGGAAGTATAAACTCTAGTTAGGTCACTAACAGCGACATCTTGGTCATTGACGTGCTTCAGTTCCCAGCAGTGACAGCATTGTTTCCCAGCTAATGTGGCTCTGAGCTTGTACAGACCTCATGCAATAAGTGCCAGATCAGTTTCTCAGTTGTTTATATATTCTGGAAAAGAAATGCATGATGACTGGAGCTGGTCAACCTTTCTCATTATGCCATTTTTTTAAAATATGTGAATGTAGACCCCGTACAGCAGAAGGTCGCTGGAACCTTTCCGTCTTTCCAGGCAAAGTCTTATATAGAGCGTTTTAGAGCAGCAGTTCTCAAACTTTTTTTTGCGGCAGCACCCTTGTCGGGTAAAAAAAAAAAAATTTGCGGCACATCTATCTTTAAAGTGGTTTGAATACTTAGGGAAAGAAGAAAAAACAGTCTACATTTAATGTTCAGTTGTCTTTAATGCGATGAATAAAACTATTTGGATGAATTTTTTATTATTTCCATTATGTATATAAGTACATTAGTTAATTTTACCCTCAAATAACTTGACCCAGAAAGTTTGCTCCTGTTACTGTTTAAAAAAAAAAAAATATGTAAGTTTACTTTTAGAAGACCTTACAGCCTTGCCAGTAGCATTGTCTTCTGAATACACCTGCATCCAGAACTGTTCTTGGCTTCTTTTATGGTATTTATGTTTTAGATTGCTTCCATGATCTCAAGCACATTTTGATGCCTTATCACCCAGTTTGAGAACCGCTGTTTTATAGAATAAGGACAGGATAGGATTAAGTTCCTCATTTTCATAGCACAAAGCCTGATCAGTAGAATGTACCATTACCATTCAACTTTATATATTATATAATCCTATCCTGTCCTTATTCTATAAAACAGCGGTTCTCAAACTTCTAACTTCAAACTTCTAAAAGTAAACTTACATATATTTTTTTTTAAACAGTAACAGGAGCAAACTTTCTGGGTCAAGTTATTTGAGGGTAAAATATATATATATATATATATATATATATATATATATATATAATATATATATATATATATATATATATATATATATATATATATATATATATATATATATATATATATATATATATATATATATATATATATATATATACTTAATAACTTTATATCTTATATGCAATGTTCTTTTCAGTTTTTCAATTTGTATACACCTGTATTTTCAGGTATATTCATTCACACTTTTTCAAGCACTGAAACAATATACTAGTGGCACAGGTGTGCACACAATGGCTATTGAGCTGAATGAGGCTGGTTCAATCGTCGGCAGCATCCAGGACACGACTGGTGCTGTTATCAGTTCTGTCAGCGAAGTAGAGGTTTCTGATGGTATCATGTATTTCGGTTCTTTCCATTCTAATTATATAGGTCGATTATATAGAAGGAGAGTTCCAGGATGGTAGTTTTTATTGTGTAGGAAAACAGTTCCACAATCAGTTCTTTGATTGTTGTTATTGACACCTTAACCATTGTAACAGTTCCCTCACCATTGGCATCGCCCACATCTTCTCTGTGTAAAGTTAGTTATGGTAGCCTGGTAGATAGTGTGTTGGCATTAAGCCTGTCAGTGCAAGTCCCATCTCCAACTGTGTAGGGACATTTGTCAGTGTTGAGCAAGCATTTAATTTATAGCACTGTTTCACAAATATGAAAGGAAAACAACTTATATTTTAAATGTAAATGTGACCCTTCATGTTTGTAAAGCGGTCCTTGACTTACATTCCATGGTGTCAGAGGAATGAGGCATTGTTTTCACAGTTTTCACTTTTGTTTGCTTGCTGAAGTGTCAGGTATTCCACATTGTTTCCTCTCTGTTTTGCTTTAGCCGGTCTTCTCCTGCCTATTTTTAACAGACCCCAGTGTTCAGATAATTAAAATTTGTAGCATTTTCACATGTTCACATGTAGTCTATGTGTAGTCTGTGTAGTCAGTGAACATTATATTCATTTATGTTAATATTCTTAAGAAAAAAAAAAGTTTTTGTGCATATTTTTAACAGAAATAATTAACTATTCTAATTTACTTAGCACTCACTGTTTGAGAGGAGACTTGTAAAATTTTATACTTGAGTTTTGAATCAGACTTTCAATAATGAATGAAAATTGTCACGCATGTTGTCATCTTTTACATTTCTTATTACATTTTTGACATAGACGTTGAGCAGGTGCAGCAGAGAATGTACCCACCGATTTGTTTTCTCTCAGATCCATTTTTAATTGTACATTCAGTATTAGATATATGGGAATACACATATTTTGAGATCTACAGTTTTTCTGTATCGTTTAATGTTGTACTTAGAAAATAATTTCAACTGACACTTTCTTGTGTAGAATATGCATTTATTTTATATCTTAATTGTATTAACACATTTTTTTTAATAACTGCCAATAACTGCCTTTATTATACCACTTTTGTGGTGTAGGCAAGGGGGGGGGGGGGTGGGTCTTTGAGTCTGAGGATTTATGGCCGCGTGGCTTGTGCTGTCGCCACGACTGTGCCGGTGAAGATTTTTATTTTTCCCCCCGACAGAAAAAATCCCTAGCCTTACAAAGAATTTGAACCCGGGTCTCCTGCTTGAGAGCCCGGTGTTCCAACCGTTCGGCCTGTCGCTAATTTTTAAAAACTAGAACATACTTACAATCATTAATAAGAGCTGTAGTGGTGGACCGAAACAACAGGAGAAGAGAATGAGGTGAAAGGGGACAGGTTGAGGGCTTTCGCTCCTCTGTTAAGGAAAAAGGACAGAAAAGATGATAAAATTCAGTATGTTGTTAATTATGTGAAACTAATCTTCACATATTTAAAATATGTCTACTCTTGGTGTTTACAGTTTTGAAACAGTTGTATCTCTTGTTATTGTGATCATAGCTTTGATCACAGCAACCTTATCTATTATGTTTTGAAACACAATATGTTGTGACTGCATTCAGTTTTGAAACATAATTTATTGTTGTGTTCATTGCATTGAAATACAGCAACTGTATCCATTGTTTTTAAACACAATCTATTGTTTATGTGTTCAGTTTTGAAACATAATTGATTGTTATTGTGTTTAGTTTAGAAAGACAATTATTACATCTGATCTGACTGTTCATAGCTATGAATCACAGCAGTTATGTCTGTTGATTTGTGTTAAGTTTTGACATATTCACAAGTGTGCTCACATGCTTCTGTTTCTTCAGCATTCTGTGCTCTTGAGGTATATTGCTGCAGATATCACCCACCTCCTTTCGTTTCTTTTATTGGCCTTCTTCTACTCCACTTGGTGACTCAGTGTGTTTGTAGGTCTAAAAGTAAAGGACCCTTTTCCAGGCCATTAAGCATATTGGGTATATAGGGCTAGACCTATATTTAATAGACCAGCAGGATTTGGTGGATGATGTGACGAACATCACGCCTACCATCTTACTTCACACGACTTGACCTGGTACCTTCTTTAGGCTTGGCTGACTTGAATGCCAAGGTCATTTTTGCAAACATCCGACTCAGTGCCAATTTTAACCCATGACCTTAGTGCCTTAGGCGAGCATCTAGCGGCTACACCACGGCAGTTTGTAGGTCTACCTGTATATATTTCTATCCACTATCTTCTGTGTCTGCATCCCATTGAACTCTTTTGTGTCTCTGTTATCTGTAATTCTTTCTATACAAAATGGATATACCTTAGATCTGCACACACAGTTATACATTATAAATTCTTCATTGTGCAACAACTGCCAGTCGGGAGTGGACTAATGATGAGTCAACTTGTGCAGTTTTACATACTCTGTGTACCTAGATGCTGCTACTACAGCTGTTGCATTCTAGCTTATGATGTTAATTCATTTACTTTAAATCTGGTCCAGCTCCGCAAGAGCAACCGATACAGCCTCTCTATCTGCTATTTCGGTTCATACAACAGTCACATATCCTTGTACACAGACAAATGTGGTGATCAAATCCAGTACTGAGTTGGCCTGAACTTTATAGATGGTCTTCAATAGATCACTGAGTACACTTATCTGGTATCAGCACAATTCAATCAGTGCTCATTGCTTAGGGCTTGTGAATGCAGTTTCATAGTTTGACATCCTGGGGTTGGAATTTAGTTTCAGGTGATTTGGTAGTAGAACTCCTTTGTGATTACCTTGGCAACGGTATGAGCTTCATACTTTTTAGAAATCAATAGCAAACTACTAAACATATACAATTTTCCTAGTAAAACTAGAAAATCTTCTTAATCTATACAAAACATAGGTACTTTTTTTACATTGTGTTTGTTATTTTGCTTATAGAATTCACATAACATTTTGCTAAACATCTTGGCTCCTAAGTCGATCCAGCCTTAAGCAGGTACCAGGTATAGTTCTGGGAAGTAAAGGTGGCCGGCGTGATGTTGACCACATTGCCTGTAGGCATGGAAAAAGGTCCTTTACTTTTCTATTTTACTTGGCCAAACAAAAACAAAAAAGAAGAACTGAGGAGAAAAATACAATGTCCCTCCCTAGCGAATGTTATTAAAAGAAGATGATGAAGGTAGCTTGGATAGGTTTGCAGAATGCCTCATGACAAAAGACAGCTCTCTAGAGCAAGGCAGATGGGAAAAGGATACTTGGACGACCTCAGGAAACCTGCAGAAGGACATAAAAAAAAAGAACAATGAAGGAATTTGTAATGACATGGGATTTCATGGGCAAAAAAAGTGAATTGGAGGCAAATAAGATCTCTTATGATTGCCTTATGTGTTAATCAAAACATGAAAGGATATAAGAAGTGTTCACTTTATAACTTTTCTGTTTTTATATCAAAAAAATAAAAAGCTACTATTTGTGTTTTTCTGTGCAGCATTTTGTAAATTTGTATTTGATGTTATTATTGTTAATGTTTTAATCATGCAGTTATTAAAGCATTTTATTTTTCCATTTGTTACTTTATTTGTGGCAGTTCCTAAAAATATTTTTTTTTTCAACTTAATATGGTACATAGAAACATGAGCGACTTGTTCTTGATGTTATTATTGTTACTGTTTTAATCATGCAGTTATTAAAGCATTTCATTTTTACATTTGTTACTTTATTTATGGCAGTTACTAAATAATTTTTTTTTCAACACAAAATGACACATGGAAACATGAGCGATCTATTGGAGTTCTCATAATTGTGCTTTCTGTGTGTGCATGTCTATCCAATCAGAACTGTGTAGCTGGCAGCACAAGACAAATCAGATATTTCTGGGAAAATCTGACACAAATAATTCAAAGTACATTAACTGTCATTGACTAATTGGGCATTTATGCTGGACTCATATTTGTATAGGGAGTCATCGTTGCCGAGCGGCTAGGCGCTCGTCGCGGATCGGAAGGTTGGGGGTTCGCTCCCTGGCGGAGCCGGACTTTTAAAAAAAATAACCTTGGCTCCCAGGTTGACCCATCCTTGAGTGGGTACGTGGTGCAGACCCGGGAAAGTAAAGGCGGCCGGCGTGATACTGACCACATCACCCATCTTGTGCCGATTGGTCTATAAAAATATAGGTCTAGCCCTATATGCCCTATACGCCTGATGGCGTGGAAAAGGGTCCCTTTTTTTAACAACATATTTGTATAGACCAATCTACATTGTATGTAACATCTGTGGACCCATCAAGGTACATATGGTGGGGAATTGAGAAGAAGCATCAGTGAAATTCATAAACTGTTTAAATCACCATTGATAAATGGTCTCAAGAGGGCTAATGACTGAGGCATATGGAGAGAATGGCAGAAAACAGAGAGGCCAAAATTGTGTACACAGGAAAGTTAAATGGCCGTAGACCATGAAACGGACATAGAAGACAGTGGATAGATAATATCCAGGCAGACCTACAAACACTTTTTCATCAACTAGAAACAATGCAGATAAATTGAGGCGGGTGAATTTGCAGCCATGAACTTCATGGACTCAGAATGCTAGGAAATAGAAGAATTGGCACGCTATATGGTGCAGAAACGTTGACAATGAACAAGCAACTAGAAAACTGAACTGAGTCTCTGGAAATGTAGGTATACAAAATAATAGATACTTCATGGAAACAAAGAGACAGAGCCTGTTGAAGATCCACTGCAACCAACCTTCACTGTGGAGATGGCACCCAACAGACTGACTTGATGGGTGATATTTTTTCCTGGTACTATTTTAGGCTGAGTCGACCTGGACTCCCAGAACAGTTATAAAAACCTGCCTCGGTGTGAATTCACATTCAAAATGGTTAGGTCAGCAGGCAAGCGTCTAGTCATTGCATCACAGCTGTTCCCATGTAACTCCAATCACAATGAAATAACACAGCTGTTCCCATGTAACTCCAGTCACAATGAAATAACCCAGCTGTTCCCATGTAACTCCAGTCACAATGAAATAACCCAGCTGTCTTTCAAGCTATTCTCTGTCCA